AGAAACGAGGCATGAAAGCCACACGCCGACTGGGAAAGACAGGTAAGAGAGAGAGGCGACCACGCAATATCATATAGTATAGTATAGTATAGTATAATATAATATAATATAATATAATATAATATAAGAAAATATAATATAAGATAATATAATATAATATAATATAATACAATATAATATGATATGATATGATATAATATGATACAATATGAGAAATATAATCTAATGCAATATAATATAAGATGATCTAATGTACGAAACATAAAATAGTATAATATGATTTCCTATAATATGATGTAATATGATGGAATATGATATGATATAATATAAGGAAAATCTTTATATGGTATAATATAATATACTAGAATATGATATATTATACAACAATATAAGATAATATGATATAATATAAGAACAAATGATATAATATTATATACTATGACTATAATATACTAAGAGAGCTCTGTCCCATCGACCGCCTCTGGGGCCCAAGCCACGCTACAAGGTCTGCCTTCTGCAGCTCCGACCAATCCTGTGAAAGGGACGCGGAGAGCCGCACCCGACGGTCGAGCTCACCTGGCCAGTGCCAGCTGCTGTGGGGTTTCGGGTTTAGGGTCTTTTAGCAAGGACGGGTTTCGGGTTTAGGGTTTAGGTCACGGATAGCAGAATCACTGCAGATCGCCTTCGACTTGATGCAGCAGCTGGGAGATCAGGTCGCCACGCTCGATGCAATCCGCTGGAAAAGGGATCCCGTACCTGCCGAGCACACCTACCCGACTTACGCAATGCGGAAAATCGCCGGTCATCATGCTGCACGCGTTTATCAGCCAAGTCCTGCCCCGCCAAGACAATACACGGGTACGGCGAAGGCATCGTCACATTGTCGCGCCGTCGGCTCTCGCAGACGACGCGAATTGCTCGGGCATCTAATCCTCGCTTCTCCTGAAGCGAGGATGCCTCCACCGCCATCTTCAGAAACGGCTGCCCTTCATAGTAAACAGCACACCGTCTCCCCCCCATCTAGTGCAGGCGATCTTCATGGGCACCTCTCATCTCAACGATCTTTCACGTAGTAGGGCAGGCAGGACAAGGATGCACGGCACTGCGCATTCAGCCGATCCTTGCCTTTGCGCTGCCGTTAGAGTGGTGATCCGGGTCTTCGAAAGCCCTTATCCTCTCCCTTTTAGCTGCCATGCCCATAAAACATAACATAACATCCCTCTGCGGAACACAGCAAACGACCCAAGCAAGGACGAACAGCAGCTGGTGCACCTCCCGGACCTCAGACGAAAGCACTGCTGAGAGAGTCTGAGACTAACTGTGACGGCACCTTGCAATACACTCCCTTTGCGGAGCATCTGATCACTAAAACTTTTGGGGCCGATTGATCACTTAAACTGGAAACCCAGAACCCAAATCTTCTAAACCCTAAACTTCCCAAAAACCGTTCAAAAAAACCTTGCCTTGCACTGCATGAAGGAAGCCCGGTAAGGCTGCGGCCAGGCCCTGAGATCCGGCACCGAGACGATCTTCCCCGCAGACGCATCCAGCAGCAATTGCCGGAAGGCTGCGATGGGCTCCAAAAGGCGTCGCACCTGAAAGGGCACGTTTTGGGGTTTAGGCTGTAGGAGTTTAGAGTTTAGGGTCAGGGTTTGCGCTATCACAACTCGGACAAGCCAGGCGAGGTTCCACAGTAGCAGGTCGGCGTGAAACTGAATTTGATAGGCTTGTCTGGAACAGGGTCAGGGTTGTTTCCCCACCCGCCCAGAGAGTCAGGGTTTTTTCCCACCCGCCCAGCTGACTATGTCGCACCGCAGGGAACATGTCCAAGTAAACGAGAGAGTTTGCAAGACCAAGGAGCTATGCTGTTCCCCTTCAAGCAAGGCCACCAACAACTGGCACCCGGTCAGGGTAGGGTTTAGGGTTTCGGCACTCACAACTGGGACAAGCCGGGCGAGGATTCGAGTACAACGAACGCGCATTGGCGAGAGCCAGCAGATTCACCAGCCGCAGACCACTAACGTCTATAAATCCTCCCACGTCAAGAACTGGTCACGCACCTTCACACATTGTATGCAGGAGCTGCCACATTTACGCACCTACTATGCCTGCTCTTAGAACCGCTGTCAACAAGAGGCGACTGCTGAGTAGAGTTTAGGGGATTAGGGTCTCGAGGCTTCGGGCCCTTTTTGCATTTTTTTTTGCTCTGGAGCCTTAGGATTTCTTGTGGGAGCGTTGCACCAGGCCCGTGACCTCATGACGCTCGAAAATATCTGCCAACGTGTTGCTAGCTTTATGACAGATATGAGAACCGAGCTTGGTGTGTCTGGTCTGGAGTTACACAAAGACACGTGCCCGAGCCCGGCGCGGGAGCCGTTTGGGGAGGCTCCGTTCTTGGACGGAGCCGCGCCTGCACTCCGCCAAAAGAGAACCCACATGATGGTTTCGTGGAGAGGGAGAGAGGCAGCGAGAGTCTCTGTGGCTGTGGCTGTGTCTGTCTGCATGCGCCTATGACCTATGACTGCATTTAAGCCATGTGAGCACGCATCAGGCTTCTGCGCCTCCAGCTGGGCATCGTGCTCCCGGCGGCTCGTGTCAGAGCTGAGGATCTTGAAAGCCTCCCAAACTCTGAAAAAATAAAAGTCTGCGGCTCAAAACGCCCTTGAGTTGGGGTCAAACACGTCTTTTTGAGGTCCGGGTTTGCACACTCCGGCGAGCTTGGGTCAGGAGGTCGCTGTTCGGGGTGGAGGGTCAACGCCACCGGCCTCATTCACTCTTCGAAACTGCTCGGCCGCGTCTGGGGCATTGCATTTGTCGGGGTGCCACTGCAAAGCCTCAGGAGTTTCAGGCAAAAAACGGGGCGAGTGAGAGAACCTGCTGCAGGAAGCCGCCTTCGTGTGGAAGGCACGCCGAATCTGGCTCTCTGTCGCGCTGCCTTGGGGGGCCATGTCGAGATATCTTGCGACCACAAAGCCAGAGAACAGCGCACTTCGCAGAGAGAGGGAGAGAGCATGGGCACGGGCATCAGGGACTCGGAGAGTTTTTTTGGGACGCAGCAAGGGAGCTCACGTAGCTCTCTCATAGGCTCAGGACTGCGACTTGTCGAGCCAGGCGCCGATCTGGATCCGCGCCCGGTCCATGAGCTGCTGCCTTTGTTGGGTCTCGGTCTGCATCAGCTGATCCAATCGTCCTTGAACTTCCTTGATCTCGTCATGCTTCTCGGCAGCAGCCTTGGACATAGCCTCCAGCTCTGCGAAGAGTGCATCCTGCTTGATCTGCAGATGGCACACCTCCCAGCTTGCGACAGATGCGACCACACGAGAAACTCCTACCCAGCACAGTAACTGTCTTAGGGAAAGCTCTTGCAGACCCGCTCTAGTCCCCAAGCCTATAGAAGACATGCCTGGAGATGGGTGTCGATGACCTCTTTGCACTTCTGCCACATGTCGGAAGACCAAGGCTGGGAGCCCTGAGCCGCGTCCTCGGGGCTTTCCTGGGAGATGCCACGGAGGATGGCGTCGGTCGTGGCCGCGGCGGCCGCCGCTGCGGCAGCAGCCGCGGTACTTGCCGTGGGCGTGGAGGCCGTGGAGCCATCGGACTGCAGAAAGTCAAAGACGGTCCGCACGAAGTCCCGGTACCTCGAGGCGAAGAGCTTGCCTTCCCCCGTCTTTACATCCGAACACGCAAAGAACTCCAGCAGACCTCTCAGGGCTCGCTCGTCTTCGGTGAGGCCCTGCTGGGTCGCTGGGGGCACCACTGGCGCTGCTGCAGGGGCTGCAGGGGCCGCAGGGGCCGCCGGGGCCGCAGGGGCGGCCGGGGGCATCTTCGCTTGTGCCGGCGCCATCGAGGGCATCGAAGGCTTCGGGCCCACGACGATCGGCTGTCGAGGTTGCGGTTGCCGCTCCGCGGGCCCCGCGGGCCCCGCCCCCGCGGCCTTCGTTGGAGGCGGCTCCTTGGCCTTGGCTGCTGTTCGCGGGTTCACGGTGTAGGGACTGGCCGGCCTTGCCGCAAGCTTTGCCGCCAACTCCTCCAACTCTCGAAAGGGCTCAAGGCCCGAAGCAGAGCACTCCGAGGTGCTTTCCACTCCCTGCTGGTCTTGCTCAGAGAGCCTGGCAACCAGGTCCTGCTTGAAACCATGCGGGCTCAAACCGCGCTCGCTGCAGAGCCACCGCAGCTCCGGTGCACGGAGCGGCCCATAGCTCATGGCCTCAAGAGATCCTCCACATTCTCGCTCGCTCTAGTGCTACCTAGGAGTATATCAGAAGGCTGGGAGCCTGAAAAGCCGCCGGGTCCATGACTTCAGGAGCTCGCATACATCGCAGCAGCACAAGCAGAGACTCGGGACGAGGCGTTCGACGCCCAGCTGGTCATAGCAACTCCTCCGAGAATTTCATAGGCCACCAACTGTGAGAATAAAGATCAAGTTGCTGCCAGGGATCGCGACAGTCCTGAACATTCCGGCTGCAGGAACCTGCAACATCCCAATGGCACAGGCAGCAGGCACCCCCGAGGCAAACTGCACGGTGCTCCTGTGAACGCGGTGAAGCCATGGATGCGGAACTGCACCTGCGCAACACTGGATGTCGCCACGAAAACGAGTCGGTCGGCTGAGCGTCCAAACAAAAACCACCCGAACCATGGCCGTGCGTGAACGTTGAACCGAGAGACCGGATCTGCGCCGCAGCAGGCTGTTGAAAACGTCAGTGCGACATTTGCTGGCAGGCTGGGGTTCGAGGCGGTGCAGTCAAAAGGAAGTGCCCAGATCCCAGCATAATTATCTCAGCATTGAGGGGCCCTGTGGGTTTTGGTTGGTTCTTGGTGATACAGAAAGCGGGGGACATGGACACGGCAGCCTACTTTCCACAAGCAAGACTGGCTCCACCAGGTTGATTGCAAGGACCCTTGATGCCTCCGCTTACACGATGTAGGCTGCAGCATGAGCCGTGGAGACTCTTGAGCCGATCCAAATTCAGCGCATCATTGCACATCACCCCAGTCAGATGTTCCTAGGTGCTTTCAGGATTCATGCAGTAGCATCTTAGCAGACAAGTTCGGTCAGTGGTTGGGAAAGCCACACGGCCTTGATGTCTCCATCTGCACGGCCTGAAAACAGTCACCAAGCATGGGACACTCTTGTTCCTGTCAATGTCGCAACACGCGTAGCGAAGAATGATTCTGTCCCGATCGGCTGCCGCTTGCCTCTGGCGTCGCACGAGGCAAAGACCGGTTGCCTGCTCGGAGAGAGGTCCTCCTTTGAAGACGGCAACGGGGAAGCCCAGAAGCGACGGCAACCGGGAAGCCCAGAAGACCTCCGACACGAGCTGCGTTGTCTCCATACTAGCTGTCCATCGCGTGGCAGGCGCCAAGGCCAAGCATGCACGCTCAAGAAGAATAAGAAGACCGAGCTCGGGCAGTCCCACGCCAACGCTACGAGGCCCGGCCCCAGCGGCGCCTTGGCTTCTCCTCGGCCTCCTCGGCCTCGCTTTGGCTCTCCGCCTTGGGCGCCTCACTCCACCTGCGCAGACTCCTGGGTAGAGCAGCTGCACCATACCCAGAAGCGCCTGCGCTGGCGTCTGCAGAGTCTGCGGCGAGCCTCGGCCCCTGTCCGGCATCGGTCTCAAGGAGGGGATCGGGCGCCAGGTCAAAGCGGAAGGGCTCCAGGAGGATCGCGCGGACGCGCTGCGCGTCGCTGTCATCCCGGAAGTAGGAACCGGTGTTGTCCCCCACGCAAGGAAGCCGGCACATGAGCAAGTCGCGTTGCCCAGGGTGGCTCTGCCGGCATAACTCCTTTGCGAACCCAACAGCTTCGGGCAGTTGAGGAGGTGATGTCGAGAATTTACAAGCTCCTACAGTATGAGTTGCTCTACCGAACAGCTTGCAGTCCTCCGCGGGCATCCGTGCCGCAGTCGGGCCGATGTTCTTGCCGCTGCAGTCTAAGACCAAGAGAAGAAAGTTGCAGGTCCTTTGCGACAGCTCGCGGAAGAGCTCCATCAAATCAGCCTCGATCCAGAGCTGCCGGTTCAAGTTCAGCACAACGAAGAGTTTCCGGTCAGCGGACCCCAGCAGGCATCGGAAGCGCTGAACGCAGCGCTCGATGTAAAGGTAGTCAGAGTCATCGTGCAGCGGATCGCGATGGTTGAAGATAGTGCCCCGCCCTACGCCGGCTGTCATTTCCGAATAAGTGTTGTGGCCGATGAGTTTCCGCTCTCGGGGAGCTGATCCCGGCTTGAGGCCGATCGAATCGAAGGAAGTGCCATTGAGATAGTACTGGCGCTTGTCCAGAAAGTCTCGGAAGTCATCCAGCAAGCAATGAGACACCATTGCCGCGGAGCTGAAGATCCAGTCGAAGGGGCACGCATAGCGGCGCGCCCCCATGGCCTTGTACACGGAGGACTGCGAGCAGCGGCAGCCTAGGGAGATCACGTGCTTGAACTCGTTCTCAGCCCCAGGCGCGAGCCGTGCCATTTCAGGAAAGGCAAACTCTCATGTACAAAAAAAACGAAGAGGTGGAGAGCGAGAGAAGGTCCCTCGCTAGGGCCTGGGGCTTCTCGAGGCAGCCCTGGCGTGGTCAAACTCCTGGGGTCTTTTTTGTGTTATCTTTATGTTCCAAGCTCTGGTGAAGTGCTGCTTTGCGCCTGAAGAACGTCAGTCCGTCAGTCGAACATATCAACTCGCAGTTTGCGGTCCCCCGAGCCCCAACAGCAGGGCATCTTACATCTTACTGCGTGGCTCGCGGAACCAGGGGAGGACAGAAGAACACTGCGGACAAGCCAAGGCTTCCATGAAGGCCTTCTGCCTACCTCAAACAGACATGCAGTCTGGTTCTGCAGTCTACCTTCCGGCCTCGTCGGGGGCGTGGGGAAATCCTTCTCTTGCTTGCCAGGCCTCGCGTCTGGAACTGAACAAAGGAAAAAGCAAGCAAGCTTGCAAGCGGCGGGCCTTCTTTTTGCTTCGCTAAGACTCTATTAGCGGAAAAAAGCGCGACAAACGAAAATCTTCTGAAGAGAAATGCTGGCAAAAAGCTACAGCACAGACGAAACCGGGGTCAAACAACTACCCACATAGCTCTGCACCTCAGTTTCCCAGGTTCCATCGCAGCAATCCTGTCAATCACCAGGGAAACGACAACATCCCAGATCGGAACAAGGACAGCATACCCCGTGACCCAGTGATCGACATCGGAAGGTGAAAAGATGTGACAAGACTTCGAGATGGTGGAGCCCACGGCCACACCACCAGCCCACGCATTGGGCCGCAGTTAAACGTCGGGCAGGAAGCAAGCGATCCGTCTGAGAGAACCCGCATCACTACGCAACGCCGCATTAGGTGGGATACCGGGCTAGCAGTGCACAGAGGGGTCTCAGCGATGGTTTGCTTGCTGTCTACTGAAGCCTCCATCGCAGAGCAACGGAAAACGTCCAGAGGGCCAGGGCCTTGGCCGTGAACGTCTAAGCCGTTCGGGCAAGATCCAAAAAGCCTACTTCAGACCCTTGACACGGGCAACTTCCTTCTAGTGCTTCTAGCGATCAAGGAAAGGATGCCTCGGCTAAGCAAGAGAAATACTACAGTGAACCCGTCATCGGGGGGGGGCCTCGCCTCTAGGGTCTTCTGCAATGCAGCCTGCTCGTCTTAAGGCACTGTGGGCGGTCCCCCCTCTTCTGGGCTCAGTCCTTCTGCACCCTCGATGCTTCAGGGACCGGGGTGGAGAAGTGCAAATATGATGTAGGGTCCGAGCCTTTCATCACATTCATCGAGTTCAGTTGAGGTTTCGGCGTTGAGCCTCAGTAAAGACCAAACTCGGTTTCGAGGTGGATGTTCTTGCTAGGTAGCTCGGGCCCGACATCATGTCAAAGCTGGTTAGACGGTGGTGCTCGTCAAGCGGGAAATGAGCCGTGCACGGCCTTGCCGAGCCTTCGCAGTTCGATGTCAAGTCCTCCAGTTTAGGATATCGACATTGACCCTGACCCCGCCTGCAAGAAGAACTGCGACTGCAACAGGCACAGCTTCAAATGAGGGCATAGGCCTCGAAGGGCATCAAGGCAAGCACTGCTTCGCAGCAATCCACGGATGCCGAGTCGTGAAGAACTTCTCAGAGATTCTCAGGTTAAATAGTCCATCTAAACAAGAATTCGGCCACGACCGAGAGCAGTTCGAGATTCGTCACATGTCTTGACACGCGACAGCGGAACTGCAGCAACCTCGAGACGGTGACCTCCAGGTATGGACAAGTCCAACTGTCCATCTTGCACCAGGGTCCGGTAAAACTCCTTCTCTGTGAACCTAAAATCTTCGCCCTAGCGCCTCAAACCCCTCAGCACGTAGCCAGACAAACCCTCTGGTGACGTTGCGCTTGCCCTGCACTTGTCCAGAACATGACAGCAAGATGCCCTTTGCCGGCTCCACCGCAAAGGCTGCTGCCATGTGCCGAACGCCTGCATGTCCCGAAGCGGGTCGAGACGCTCCATCCGTCCGTCAGACACAGGAGAAGCCAATACCCGACACAATTATCAGAACGGGTGCGACAGCTGAGTCAATCACTGTCGGCATCCGTTTCTAAAAGAATCTACACAGTCTTGCCCCGGGACTTGCCGCAACGAAAGCACTGCAGAGCATGCTGCCAGAGGGGTGCATCTTCAGGGCTTTAGATGGCTTTAGGCTGACACTGCACGCCGCTTCCCCTAAATTCCCCCTGACGTGGGCCCCTGGGCTCCAGCTCAGAACGCAGAATTCCTGGCGTCGGTTGGCAACAGGAATCCCAGATCAAACACTTCAATCAAAATAATTCGCTACTCTCTCGCCTCCACAGAGAGTCATGCTCCTGCCTACGTCCGATCGAACTCTCGATTTTTATTCATGCCTGAGCGACCAACAGCTGCCGGATGCCTGCAATCATGGTGGCGAGGGGCGCTTGGCCCAATGTACGGGCACGACAAAATAGACAATCTTGACGCAAAGTCGCGTCCAAAAGACCGTGGCCCTGCGAGCCCCGACGTGGCAGCATGTCTGTTTGTTTTGGCTCTAGGAGCTACTGACCAACGTGAAAAACTGTAACCCTGGAGTCGCATGAGAGCCGCGGCGAGCGGTTGATGGGCAACCTGCTCAGGGATGCCCTTTGGGGATACTTGTGCAGTTGGACAGCCTCTAGCTCTAAGCCGTACGTCCTGCGCTCTTCCAGGCGAAATCCTTGCAAGCTTCCGTCAGCTATTGCTCTTGGCTGAGGGCTATCCGCTGCACATCACAGGACTTCGCGAAAAATCTTGCCATCACTGCTCGGGAGAATACGGCCAGCACATCCCAACCACTTCTTGCACCGCTCGATTTCGGGGCTTAGGGATATTTGAGGTGTCAAAGACTGAATGTTAGATCTCAAGATCACATTGTCAGCGGTGCAATATCTTCAACAATTGCTTTGATGAAGGCAGATACAGCTCTTGACTAGCAGCCTCCATCCGCCACCCGTCTCCGACGGTGGCATCCTGCAAATGGGACGCGCCGAGCCGGCGAAAGGTGCACGTGGCATAAGCCGCGTCGTCCTGTGCAACCCCGCAAGTCCGCCATCTGCCGGACAGTCTCAGTCTCAGTCGCATTCAGATCGATTTCCCCAAGGCCCGGTAGGCTTCAAGATCATCGGTGAGCTTCTCGATGCATGCCACCATGAGTTCACCAAAGTCGCTGCGATTTGCCTCTTAGTTGCTGAGTTCACAGGCACAAAAAAGTGTACACTTTCAGTTCTATAAGGGATCATTTTAGCCCAAAAAAGTTTAACGTGTACTCATTCAGGTTCTGAGGCCTTGGAGACACAGAGAAGGGCAAGCTGGTGGAAAGGCATGCGGACCAGGACTCGCTCAAGACGTCGCTGTGCGGATTCGGAGGTCGTCTCCTCGCCCGTAGGATGCTTCATGGCCTCCTCTGCCACCAGGTCCAGGCTCTCCTTCGCGAGTGGTAGGAAGCCGTTCATCGCGGCGTTCGACGTCAAGATCCGATGGAGCATCAGAAGAGCTTCCCGCATTCCCATCAAGTTGAACTTCTGGCGCTGCTGCTTGTCCAGCTTGGCGGGGCGATCTCCATGCGGCATGTGGCAGTAGTTGCATTGCGCTCCGGTCGTGCACTTGCCGGCCACGAAGTAGATGCATGGGCGCTTACAAAGGTCTGGGTGACCCCTGCTCCCACAACTGGCCTCTGCACGAGAAGCAGGCTCAGCAAAAGCCACTTCTCGGTGAGCAACGACTGTCTCTTCAGCATCGGCGACGGACCGGTGCGTCCTGGAAGTACCCAGCGACTGCACGTAACCTCGTAGAGTCTCCTCTTCGGTCATTGCATCGAAGGCTGCGTCGAGACGCGTCCTGGGAGCTGGCTCGCTGGAGCTCCGACGATGAGTGCCAGAGACCACCACCATGGGCGCCTCATCGATGAAGGTGCGGCTGTACACGAAGGTCACCTCCGCCCCGATGCGATCGAAGACTGCCATGGCGAGGACTGAGAGGTGCCAGGGCAAGAACTTTGAATCCAAACTGGCCTTGAGCCAAATGCTCCGGCTTAGGACGTCTCTGTATTAAAGCATGGAGTGCATGAAGCTCAGAAGCTCGTCTGAATAAACGGCGAAGTAGATCACCCGTTAACAACTCTGAGAGCTCTTGGGCCTCTTGGAAGTCGACCATCGAAGGCTCGACGCCTGGCAGCCCCAACACTCTGAGGTCTCTTTTGCTGGCCTGCAAATGAAGGCCTGAGCCTATATTGTGACCAAGACACACAAAGAGGGGCGCATGCTTGCTTCTGCATGGCTGTTTAGGAAGGGTTGCTTTTGCTAGCACATAGCAACTCTCAAGAGCCGAACCCGCAGCACATCACACGTTGATTACGGCGCGCCTTCCAGATTCCAGCGCAGTTTTGATGGGAGACATTGCTCCGAGAAGAACGCGAATCCAACCGTACAACTTCTGCCCTTGTTAGGTAGAAAAGATGGCACAACTTGCTCCTATTCGAGAGGACAATGCTCACATGCCTGCGAATCCGCCGGTCGTCTTATGCACTCTGTGTCTTGGGCCGAGACTTCACATGTTCTTCTTGCTATCTAGCAATCTAGCGCTTGCAAGAGTTCGCCGCATTCGTCGATGCCGCATCTGCGAACCCGTTCTATCACAAAAGTCCCTCAATGTTGAACTGCGTACGAAGCTCTGCTTGCCTCAGGTTCGTAAGCTCCGTTCCATACAACTAGCATGATGGAAGGACAAAACCGCGAGTGTTCAGGCTGGGAGGAGTTATGCAGTTATGCTGTCGAATTCCAAGACCTCATCCCAACGCATGGCCGGAGGACGGGTGGGCTGTTGTGAAAAATGTGCTGACAGCAGTGGCTTCGGGAGTGCAGCAGCGTTTGCCGGTGGTGAGGTGTCTTGGAAGTGCTTCGAGATGCCCCGCCAAGCCGTGCCTGCTCTGTTTATAGTCGCTCTCTGCTGCGTAGCTGGCCAGAGTCTTTGACCATATCATGCGTGTGCTGAATGTCTTTGAGGATGTCATGCGGTGCTGTAACCTGGACAGACAGCCCGTACCATGACGTGATGACCGACCACACTCACGCAATTCGTTGGAAGAGTGAGGTTTGAGCCGTTGTAACAATTGAGACAAGCAGGTTTCCTGTTAGTGCATCGACTGTGGCTACCTCGCAGGAACTGCACTGTCTCACGCATCGCAGCCTGCAGTCTACGCGAGCGCGCGCACCACTCCGGCGAGTATAGGAATAATCTTCTAATGGGTTGACTGGCGGTATTCTTACCCAAATGGGCAAGGGTTCTGCTAACCTAACTCTGGCAGAAGTTTTTGCAGAATGGCAAGGGGTAGCATACACCGGAGATGCATAAGACCATAGAAAATGGAAACCGCTGCAGTCCGATTTTCACAGCACAACGGTCCGCCGCGGATGGTAGTGCTGTAGCCCCAGCATACCTGACCAGAGCTGCTTCGGCTTGGGGTTCGGGGCGACGGGGCCACGGCCCTCTCTGAGCTTCTGGCGCCAGTCAGGGTCAAAGTGCTGGCCAACCCCGATTCGGAAGTCCATGGATACCCGCGTGTGCTCAGAGCGATTGGGCGGAACAAAGTGCCGCACCAGCGTCCCATGAAACATAGCCTTGCAACCACCCTACGCTGCACTGCCAGATCCATGCATTGCACCATGAAGGCCCGAGTCACGACATCACCGGGGTGGACTTCAATCGGATGGAAATCACCTTCTCCTGGCGAAGACTCGATCCACAGCGTCGTCCTAGACAGGCTGGCTCAAGGCAGGGCCAACGGCTGCAAGCAGAAAACACAGGACGGTCGAAGTGTCCAGAAGTCCTGGTCAACTTGTAGTCCGTCAGTGGCATCCAGAAGTTAATCTCACCTGCTTGGTGGCCATATCTCTCGTCCGCATGCAGCATTCGAGACCGCCTGGTCAAGTTCAAGCTGTCAAGCTGCTTCTACAAGCCATATAATTACAAGTTGTATAAGCCCCTAAAATTGCCCTAAAACCCTAAAATTGCCCTAAAACCCTGAAACTGGAGCTGTTGATCCCGCGCCCACCTACTGCGCCCTGGTTGCAGCCGGACCGTCGGCGGATGCTGGCAGTAGAAAGTCACAGGGCCAGCCTCCTCCAGCTTCTCCCTGCAAAAACCACGAGCAGTCTCAGACACACAAAAGGCACAGACGACATATATTACACTGGGGCCCGCGAATTTCAGATGGGCAAAGACTCAAAACAATCCAATGAGTTCATAAGGAAAATCGCAGTCACGTAAACCTGCTTTGCGATGTCTGGAAGCAATGGGACTCACAAGCACGGGGATGTTATGCATAGCACCCATGTCAAAAAAAAACATGCAACATAGTTTAACACCACATACCTGACACATGATACAGTTGCAACTGCTCGAGGCGGTATGTGACAACTGTGTGGTGTAGCCCTTCTGCGACAAGCACCTGAATCGCGCTGCTTCTTGAAAGGTTGTGCTAAATGTCCTAGTTAATCCCGTTACTCCTGCTTCCCGTCCTTGGTGATATCAGTTCTAGGGTTTGATGCATCTACTGTTCAAAAATGGCTGTTGCAGTTCTGGCTCGTGCGGCTGCCGCGGCTGCCACCACCTCTGCAGGTCCCCATTTGGAGTGCTGCAGCTGGTGCTGCTGTGCGGCGGCTTCGTTGTCTCCTGCTGCTGGTTCCTGCCTTTGATTTTGGTCCTCTGGCTCTGCTCCTGCCTCCGCTTCTGCTGCTGCTCTTGCTGTTTGCCCTGCTGCTGCGAGAGTCAAAGAACGGAAACGGCGAGAAGCCCTGCTGTGCCTTAGGCGTGGGCAGATGACCTCTTCCAGAAGACGGTCGTAGCAGGCCAGGAAAGACGGGCAGCCCAGGACACACCGTCTCCATGCCTTCTCGTAGGCAAAGGAGCTGAAGGTCCTCTCCTGAAAGACTTTCATCGGGGATATCGGAGGTGGTACGTCGAGCGCGTATACATAGAGACGGATGTCACAGCGCACGGCATGCAGGGCATCACATGGCAATGCATCGCAGCACATGGTGGGAGGCTTTTGGGAAACCTTGCCTCAACACCAACACTGGCATAATCTGATCCGATGGTGGCTGGTGGCGTGGCAGACCTGGTTTGCGTGAAGGCGGGGGGGGGGGTGTGTTTCCTGCCTCTGCCCGGAAGCGCTCCAAGGACAGAGAGGACCCAACGAAGCAGCCGAAGCCGACCATGGGCCCAGCCTGACGGAGGAGGGTCCAAACTTGGAAGCTTCGGCTCTGAGGCCACAGCCTCGGCCAGAAGCCTTGCCGCCAGTCCTGGACATGCGTGGTCGCTGCCACGGCCCAAGGAAGGACCACCCCCCAGCTGGCCTCTGAGATCATAGCGGCTGGAATCAAAGCTGAACACCTCCTCCTGGCGCAAGCCTTGGCTGACACCCATACGATGCACGTGGCATTGCAAGCATGCTTTCAGGATACGGGAGAAACATGGAGAAACGCTCTTTTTGTAACTTCGCCAGCGCTCCTGCGCTGCAGAGCCTTTGAAACTGGTGCCGCTGCCACCCTCCCAAAATCTGGAACGGCTGAGAATGGCAGCACCTTTCATGTCAGACTCGCCCGGCGCGCCTCGCGCGTCGAGGGCCAAAGTCTCTCAAAATCCGTCCCTGCGGACTCCGAGCGAAGGCTCAGAGCTAGGCTTTGGAGCGCTTCAAAGCCTGAATGGCCAAGTTCGCCGCCTTCTGCCCCGAGAGGAGCATTGCGCCAAACGTTGGCCCCATCCGATTGCATCCTCGCGCCTCGGCCACCTCCATTCCAGCAAAGATCAAGCCAGGAACGACCTCACTGGTCATCTGCACCACGGCATCCTGCCAAGGAGCAGAAACTCAGGCAAACCAAAACAAACCCCTCAAAAAGCTTCAGAAGCATGCTTTTTCAGGCTTCAATATGAATTCTCCTCGGCAGTGTTCATATCCAAGGCGCCCATGCCCGGGAGCCCCGAGGGCAATGCACCGAGAGATTCAAGGCGCTTCGCAGAGCTCGCGCCCATGGGCCCGTCGTGGCCGGTGGCCGTCACCACCACCTTCGCCTCCATGACCTCCCGTCTTAAGCACAACCAAAAATGCAAAGTCTACATCGCACTCGGCTCGGAGGCATGACAACCCGTCTTAAGCAGAACCGGCATATTCAAAGTCTACATCGCACAAAAGGCTCGGAAGCTTTTGAAAAAACGACCCTTCCTGCGGGTCCATGCAAGATTGCGTGTCGTGGTTTTGCGTGACAAGGGACCAATTGGTAACGACCTAAGCAGAACTTCTCGCAGGAGAGCTTCATGAGGCAGCCGGCACTTCAAGCAACTGAGACGGCTTAAATTCAGGTCAGCGACACCCCGGACCGCCACGCTCTCCGGCTCCTGCCTAACGAGCAGGTCCTCCACGGCAACGGCATTGAAGAGCTTCACGTTCGGGGCGATCAACGCCTTGCGGAGGACGGAGGACATGAACAGGGCCGCATGCTTGACGACCACGTAGTCGCCTTGGTCGTCGTAGGGGACCTCCAACTCATCCAAGAACTCGTCGGCTGGTTTACGCACCACCATGGAGCTCATCAGTTGCCCCCCCAACCAGCAGCCCCCACCAGGAGCGACATTCTGCTCCAGGATGGCCACCTTGATGTCGGGATGCTTTGTCAGCTCGTAAGCACACGAAAGCCCCGCTGAGCCAGCGCCCACGATGACCACGTCCGTCTCCGCATAATCCAGCATCTCCGACATGTAGCGCTGTGTCATCTCACGGCTGACCGTGCTCTCACGAATTGGTGTGAACTGCATCGAGTCGAACATGGCCAGCTTGTTGCTGACGTAAGCTTCCGGATCCGTGGGAACTGCTGAAACTAGTGCAGACTTCCAGCGCAGACCGCCTGCCACTGTGCGGGGTGCGATCAAGCGCCGCAGAGAAGCAACTCCAACACGAGGTGCGAACATGTCGAAGCGGAGGCCCAGGTCCCTGCGCAGGTATTACCCTGATCAGGTTCAACGGTCTGTTCTCAGCACAGCCGCACTTGGCAGCCAGCACCCGTCAGGCCTTGATCCAAAATGTGCTGGGCAAGTGCCGAGACACACCGGCAACAGGTAAACCTATCACCTGCATCATGACTGGGCAGACACATGCCTGCTACCGGCAGCCCTCTTTGCAAAAGGCAGGACAGCCAACATTGCCAAGCTGAAAGACTTCCCGACCTTTTCAGCCATGCTTTGATTTCGACTCAGCATTTGTGGAATGGAACGTGGAACCTCTCTATCGGAGCACCTATGAACTCATCGATGAAGCTCAGAAACGCCTCTAGTGGCCTCCTGTCATCTTCTCAGGAAGCCTTTAGCTTTCCTTTGGGCGGAGATGGTTAAGGGACCTTTGATCCTCCACTTCCAAGGCTGGCCTTGGTAGCTCTTGCTCCCAGCGGTGCTTGGGTTTGAGCCCAAACCTGGGCCCCAGACGCGCCAGCGACCGAACCCCTGGGGGCTTCTCTCACCCGGTGGACTTCTACTGGGCTGCGGCTGCGGCTTCATCCATCGCGGTGGCCAGAGAACCGAGGCCGAGGAAGCGGAGGCCGAGGAAGCCGAGGAAGCCGAGGAAGCCGAGGAAGCCGAGGAGCGAGTGAGTCGCAGGCAGGTGGCGTAGGCCTCCGCCAGCTCCGCGAAGCTTTCCCGTGACCTGCCAGGAAGGGAGAGAGAGCCCTATGAAAAAGCCCACGGGCACTGTTCCTACTGCACAAACCCGACAACCCATCTGTTCCCTTGTGATTTGTTTTGATCCAGGCAACTTGCTGGTGCCAGTCGGACACACGTCCGGGTGAAGACTGCGGGCCAGTTCGTGGTATCTCAGCTTCAACTCCTCTTTCGAGGCCTGCGGCGTCAGTCCCAAGATTTCATGGCAACTGCGCAGTCCACGAACCACCATGGCTCGCCACATGCTCAACTCAAAACGACTACCTTCTAGTTGCCTGTCATCGACTGGAGCCGACAAGCTGTGCTTGCAAACATGCACCGCGGGCACACCGCAGCTTGCGACCCTATGCCATGGCAGATCCAACGACTCTCCCCATTTTGCTTCTCTTTTTGTCAGCGGCGGATGGCGGAAGCCTCAGAGGGGGCAGCAGATTACCGAGACCGAATGCTTTTGGAAGCCTTCCGTCGCGGGCAATCTGCACACAAGGCAGCGACTCGAGTCGGGTGGATGCACTTCCTGCGACCCGGAGCCTCCGCCAAGACCGCAATGGCTTTCCAGCTGCTCAAAGCCTCCTGGCCAAGCTTTTGCCCTCCGTCCGCCTCTAACTTCAACTTCTGGCCCCGCATCAGCAACGTCCCACTTGGCACAGAAGGCTCTGCGAGCACTATCCGCGATTTCGACAGCGAGAGCTGTTCAGATTCGGGGGACAATCTAACGGATGGCCAGCCATTGCCTCCAAACCCGATGATCACACCGGTCAGTTGTACGGATGCTTTGCTATCTGACAGCCCTGATTCTTGCGCCATCCACCTCTGCGATGCTGCCGGCGTTGAAGTGTTCCCCGCGAGGTGCAATGAAACCGAGCTGCAGACGGAAGCTCGTGTTCGCAAAGCCAAGGACCGGAGAATCCATGATTGCCGCATCGCGATGCTGAACAGAAAAAAACTGTGGCTTGCTTTCCTGATTTGCTTTTGTTGCTGCGTTCGCCTTGAAACTCCTCGACCCAATTTTTTGCAGAGTCCAAAAGCTATGGTTTGTTTTCCTGGTCATGTTTTTGCGGCTATGTACGCCTTGAAACGCCTCGACCCCATTCTTGCAGAGTCCAAACGAGTAGCACCACAGCAAAACAGCAATGCAACTGACAAACATCTTCACATGGCCGGATGTGTGTGCGAAACAAGAAGCATATATGTATATATGCCAATGCAGAACACATACATGTCCACATCTTGAACTCGACCAACACATATCTTGTGACAATGCATTGCTGGGTGATGCCTTGGGGTCACCACTGCTTGAACCAGCACGGAGGCTGCAAGCCAGCTAGCACGTGCCCAAGGCATGGTGGAGCATTGGACGCGGGCGCAACACAGCGTATTCCCCATCCAAATCGTCCGTGCAGCCGAGCTACTGCCAGGCAAAGGTCTTTGGACGACTGCCGGCTGCTGAATTGGCCTGCATCAAAAGCATGGGATGGCAGGATATGCCTTCTGCGATGACATGCGACACAATCGTGGCAATCGTGGCAATTAGCTTTGTTTCTTTGTGATACTGTCACCGTCCCTTACGGTCCCTGCATTATCCTGCCGCTGCAGGTCCCCATCCTGATCGCTGCAGATGGGCCAACTGGAACCGCAACGTCCCCCTCCATGGCCTGTCATGTGCATGCACGCAATGTGCAACATTCGACGACTGCATGTTCAAAGCTGCAAACGTCACACAACAACCTGGGAATACACACCACGAGGAGATGGGCGTCATAAGCACACATCTAACATCTTAGCTCACAGGTCCGGTGCGCCTGGCTGCGGTGCCAAGCGCAGGGCTGGCCTACAGCTAACACTCTCCACCACGCCGCCACCGCGTGCATCGGCCCCAGAAAGGGGTCCGCCAGGCGAGGGCAAACGAGGAAGCCAAGGCGGTGCGGCGCTGCGGACATCTGCGGACCGCTCCGCGAGCACCCGCTCACAGACGGCATGTCGGCCTTCCGCGCCAGGAGGTCGGGCGTGACGGTGGATGCTGCATCCGACAGAGCCGCCGCAAGCCACATACCAGCATGCAGACCGGATCCCAGCGGCCGGAGTCAAGACCGCAAGCAGCTCGCACTCTCGAAAAAAAGTGCGTAATGCCAGAATGGCATGTCACTGCCAGCCAAGCCGTCAAAGGCCGAGTTCACCTTCAGCCGCCGGAACTTCTGTTCCTTGTATGCCGCGCCGGCAATGTGGTGTGCTTGCGTCCTCTGCAACTGGCTCACGGGCGAGGCGACATCGGTTCGCCTCCGAGCTCGCGCACAGGCCAATCTGCTGCCTCGGGGTGAAGTTGCTGCAGAACCGGCCGGCTGCGCGTCTGCCCACGCAGAACCGTAAGCTGCCGGCGATACCCGCGCACAGCTGCCAAAACTGTTTGGACCACGAATCTTAAGAACACGACTAACTCCTCCACTGCAGGCACAGACTCGCCCCACGGGTGGTTGGGGAGGTTCTGCGCCGGCTGGTGGAATGAATCCCTGCACAAGCTTTCGCGCCGCACTTCGGACACCCCGTGCTCAGCACGCGAGGCGGCACTGAGGCTTTGCCGTCCTTTCCGTCGATGCGGTTGGTGCCGCTGGCCATGCTTCCGGCAAGGCCATGCTCGCTCTCCTGGCCCGGCCAGCGTTGCGTCCGGTCCTCCCTGTCGCCGTCTATGGCACCCTTTTTCGTCTGGGTTGACGGCCGCCCTAAGCGCCTTCGCTCAACAGGCAGAATTCCAGGAGGTTCAATCGCAGCTCAGGGGCGGAGAAGCGATCTTTGTCTCCGCGCCAGAGCGAGTGATAGCGAACACGCGAATTTTACGAGGCCCACCAATGGACATTGTGGACTCCGGCTCTTGTTGAGCTCAACCGCACCGAAACAGCCATTGTGTAGGAGATTGGGACAAGCCGCCAGCCCAACACGGCTTCGTCCGTTGTTAGCACGCCCTTTGGCCGTGATGTCGATCGACATCCAGCGGCAACTGGAACCCAAAAACGAAACATGCCGGTCGCGGCGAGGTTGGTCGGATGGATGCACTGATTGATAGAAAGACTGACTGAATGACTGACTGAATGAATGACGGCCTGACTGACTGAGGGACTGACCGACTGACGGACTGACAAAATGAGCGGAGCCATTTTGGCTCAAGGTTTCTGTGCTCGAGGGGCCGCTCCACAGATCGTTCCTTTGATAGCTGCCCTCCCGCCATGGTATGGCCCGTGCTTACAACCATCGGACAGTGGTGCTGGCATGGCTATTCGGTGGCTGGCTCATCCTTACAATTTGCAGCTTCCCTGCCGCCCACGTGCCGCGAAAGTCTGGCGCATGCGGCGTTGACGTGTGGCGGCATGACGCCCCGTTACTACACGGCGGGATTCGCCCCTTTGCAGCTCGCCTGGGGCTGGCTTGTGGTCGGCCTGCTTTGTGGCATGCTAGCGCGCACGTGCGCAGGAGCCGTCCTACTACGGTACCAGCAGGCGCCGTCCTCCTGCCCCCGACAGCCCCCAGATGCGCGCCCGCAGGCGGACATTTGCGAACAGTGGTTGCACGCCGCAGACGAGGTGACACGTTGCTTCGCCTTGGGAGGGGAAGAATGTATCGGCGCATTGGCGCGGCAGGCGGGACAACCGCCGGTGTCGTTGTTGTGTTCCCTTCTCCAGCAGGCAGCAGATGCCTCACGTACAAACGGACAGCATGCAACACAAGTGCCGGCAAGTGTGCCGGCACGCAACGGATTGCAGCGACGCTCAGGCACGTCATGCAGACAACCGAGCATCGCAGGGCGTGCAGCGCCACCTACCAAACGTTGAGGAGCATGTTGCACTGTTGTTGTTGCTGTCTCGACCGCCGCAGCCCTTTTGATGCAGCAACCCGGGAGCGCTGGCAACCGCCTTTGAAGCCATGCAGTGCCAAGCCTGCCGCTGGCGCCCTGCCATTGGCACTGCCCCATGTGCACCCTGCAGTGCCGTGCACCGGCTCCAACGCCTGGTGCACTCGCAAACCCTGCCAGACTGGACGACCGAACCGGCATCGGAGCTGCTCCGTGCGTGCTTCAGCACCTTGGAAGCACTGGCCAAAGGACCACCAGTTGACAGAGCAACCAGCCCCATCACTCCACCGGCGCCGAGAGACCGCAGCCGCAGCCGCAGCCCGCCACCGCCAGGGCCTCGCCGCCTGCCGACCCCGCCACGTGTGCCCCACCCCCCTCGCACACACCGCGCGGGAACCAAGCATCGCCAGCCCAAGGG